ACATCTCATGTAACGTCATTTCCGCGCCGCGTGTGTGATAATAACTTGAGAAGTAAAAGGCCTATATGGGAAAACATAACTAAACAACTTTGATTTTCTTTAAAATCATTATCAAGAAAACTTCAAAACAATGCATTAAGGTCGAAATGAGGCACGTGAAAGAGCTGCTACGACAGAAAGGGATTATAACTCATCTAAACCATTTTGGGAGAGAGACACGTAAACAGTTCAATGAATAGTCCATTTTACAGTTGTGTGCTTGGTTGCCAAGCCTTTGAACAGGAATGAGGTTAAGGGTGACCTTGTTATGATACAAACCTTACTGTTTTTCAAATGCAAATTACTTTGTTGTCATGCTAACTAGATACTGGTCTCTATCACAACAAGGTCACCTTCAGCCTCACTCCAAATCAAAGGCTTGGCAACTAAGAACACAACTGTAAAATGGCCTATTGACTATGGACAGAAATTTCAGAAACAGAGTGAAATCAACACGTGCAAAGTTTTTATCATAAATATAAAATAGAATATTAATAAGTCAACTGTCAAGTTTTCTCTTCTTTACAAACATCTGGAAATTATGTGCGGCTACCTATTGCATTTTGATAATATTAAGGCGCATATCAACTTGAGTATACATTATTTTAGACGATTAAATGGAATTTCAAAAACCCTTTGATCCCCAGGAGTGACTCACATCTATATTCTCCTTACAATATCACCTCTGAATCAAATATGTAGGTCATGAGAATAAAGGAAATGATCACCACCAAAAGAACCTCTTGATCGTCATAAATTTTCTTTGTCGGCACCTTTGTAAGTATATAGGAACAAGTATGGAGAATATGCATACTGATATAAAGGCGTAAAAGGTGAGTGAATGGGATTGTAACTTGCTTACGAATCTAATTGTTATCCCCTGTTACTGAACAAACGCAAGATCATGTTTTCCGTGAGAGGTCATATTTAATTTAAACCCTGTTTTATTTTTTTTACTGAAGCCGTCACTTTTTTCCTTTATAATTTTATTTAATGACATTTTAGCGCAGTTTTTTCTCGTGTATGCGCAGTATTCTAATGTTTCAGAAGTCGAAAACTGTGTCCACTTTTATTTCATCTCCAGTACACAGTACCGATATGCTTTTCGATTGTTCAAAAACGAACAGTATGCCTGTTTTCATTTAAAAGTATTGTTCACTTCCTTCCCTCACGACACTAATTTAATCCAAAAAAAAAAATTGAACTTACCCCACGCTCCAAATCGACTAAGCAAACGGGTCTTTGAGAGTCTCACTTGTGAAGTACAGGTTATTTTGTGACAGACGATACAGTTCTGGTATCACGACTTTGGCCTGTTCTTACAAAAATCTTTTGAAGTTCTCAAAAAAAAAAATCTGCTTGCTGAAGGTCTATAACAGAAAGTAATGAATATCAATATTTTCTAAAGATTTAAAGTCGCCCAACAGACGTTTCGTGTAAACAAAATTAAACCCTTTTAAGTAAATTACACAAGCCCTCCTTGAAACGTGGACGTCTCTCCTTTGAACGGAAACAAAACGCCTTCAGAGCAAACTCGGACAGACAAGAAAGTTTTGACCGCCAGGAAGCGGTGGAAAGATACCGGCTAGTGTTTGAATAACTGGTTTACAAAATCGGAGCTTATAAGCAAAAGTTTAAAGAAACACTACCGAGATGTCTTAGAGAAATTCCTCAAGCAGAGAAACTTCAAAACACGAGAGCAAAAAAATGCAAGCAACGTTTATCAAAATTTTTAAAATCTCCGGGTGATTCTCAAGCTACCGAGTTCTGAAGTAAATGTCTAATTTCAAAATCTTATTTGTTTTCTTTACATTTCTCTGAAATAATATTCCCTGAAAAGTCAATTCTAAAAAAGATCGATCGTCTTTTTCGTTTATTCATCACTGTTTATAATGAAAAATAACTTGGGTTCTTTTTCTCTTAAAAAAAAAAAAAAAGAAAACGACGACAAAACTAGTTGAAAACTGAAGTACTCGGATATAGATTATTACTATTCTTTTTCTTAAAGCAGCTGTATGTCTCCCGAGCAAATAGTACAGTCACAATTAATTAAGTGTACTCATTGTAGTTAGATGACTGTGTTAACTGTTGCCTTTGCAAATCTCCTCTTAGAGCAACAACAAACGGAAATTAGCTAGTGAATGAGACATTTCACTTAGGAAATCGGAGAAAAAACATTTTAGATCGGAAATTAAACTGTTACAATTGCTAACACTGTCTTTCATTCTAAACCATACGTTCAGTTCGGGTATAAATATTTACAGGGCTATTTTGATTTTTTGTCATGTTTGGCAAACGTGCAAATCGTGATCTGTCGAAGAGGAAGGGAACAGTATTTATGTTCCTTGAGTTTAGTGAGCCCTAAGCATTGGAGAAAAAGATAATTCTACAAGTCAGGAAAAGTAAGTTTGAAATAATTTTTATTCCTTACCTTCCTTAGTCAAGGCTAATGAGCTAGAGCAGACTTACAATGGACTAACATTTCGTTTAGGAGGAGACTTCGATCTAAGTGGCGGCAAGTATTTCTAAATATATGAAATGTTCTTAATAAATAACTGTAAGTAGCAGTATCCCTCAGAACACTGGAAAGGTTTCTAGAAAAAATGACTTAAACATTTGAAGAATTTAGGAGAATCGAATTGATCATTCTGAATTTCAATTGAATATTTTTGTCGAGGAAACGTTTGTCAAACACTTTGCACGTTCTTACTTGCTCACTCGCTCAGTTGCTTTATACAAGACATCCAAGATAATTAGTAGAAACTTCATCTCCTATCATGAATTTTCTCCGTTGTGTTTCAGATGAACACCAAACTACAAATGTTATTGCTAACTGCTGTATTCCTAGCTTGCTTAGTGGGCCGAGCTGAATGTTTTTGGGATTGCAAGCCATTTTGTGTTGGACGCAAAAGATTCTTTGGGAAGGTAAATTATTACTTGTAAAAAAAAAAAAAAGGGTGACCGAGACGCGTTGTCCCGGTGACTAAACTCCTCATTTCCATCATTGAAAAACAAGAGGGCTGCAAAAGGTTCTTTCCAAATGTTAATGGATATAAACGAACTACCTGCGAATAAACGAACCGAGGAACGATCAAAAAACGAACGAACGAGAGTCGAGCAATCAGACGGAAGAATACACGCACACGCTCCCAGGCAAGCGCGCCTACACGCACACTCTTGCATGCACTAAAAATAATTTCTTTTGAAGAGGAAAAATATGCGAAACCTAGATGTCTTATGGAAAGCGTGCTGGATACCGGATCGAGAGGTCTGGGTTCGTTTGCATACGAGTAGCAAATCAGCAAGTTTTTTTTGGTCCTCATTCGACATGCATATTATCTTTGGATTGATTATTTTAAATCATGCATATCACACTTTACTTTACTTGCGTTGCTCGCTTGATTACAACACTGTGTGAAAATATATATTTTCGTCTCCATTTTCTTTGATCAAGCTGTCCAGAGGAAAAAGTGATAAACCACATGAAACAGAAAACCGTCGAATCGCTTTAGAGGTAAATAAACAATAACTCCGTTGTTGTTATTTTTGTTTTTCCTTACTTATTTTGAATGATGTGCAATCCAGGTATAAGCATCTGCCCCTCCCCCTCAGGCTCCCTCTCATCCTTTGATTACACGCCCACCTGCGGCTTAAGGGCCACACACACCAAGAAAAACAGGTATGTTTTATAATCTTGTTTTGTTTGTTTTTAGGACGCAGATTTTGTACGCGTTCGTCCCCTGTAATGTCGTGAAAGGAAAATGATGAGGATAAGTTGAAGCAGGGAAGCTTAACAGTGCTGTCTCTGAGAATCTAATTTAACCTAGGCAGTGGAAAAAAATAACAATTGTAAATACTGCATTTAATGTTAAAAAACCATTGACATGTATTGAAAATTTTATTGAAAAGTAAAGTAGACTTATGATTTAAATATTTACTTTTTAATTTAGTGATCTAACTTTCTTGTCCCCCTCAAGTATTCAAACGTTTCCAAGTAAGCTGGATTCTTCATGCATTAAACAAGCGATTCCATCTGCGATCCAAAATTGAAATCTGACGCTCATTTTTTGAAAAATTGAACCTTGCTATCAGCGACACTTTCGAGTGTCTATTAAGCCGTCAGAGCATTTTGTTAAAAGAGCCTGTGTAAGTTTCGCTCTGACGAAGGACTAACGCTCGAGACATCAGCCGTTTAAATTTTTTTTACCATGGCCAATCTACGTTATCAACTCAGTTGATAATACTTAATGACACTGTTATACTCTCCCACCGACGCAGCACCACAGTTTCTTTAGAAACTCACCCCCTTTATTCATTTAGCTCAAAACTTACTAACTTTCTCTATTTACACTCACAATGCCTCCGAAATTGCCGACCATTTCGACATGCAGGACGTTTGTAACGTATAAACTTAGTCCATGACCCAGTCTCTCACAATGGGATTCTATTTTGCTCTGTGGTAGAATATCGGACCACGAACTTTCCTTCTGTTTTCCTTCCATGAAGCTAGCTTTCGGTTGAATGAAGTGAAAAAAAAAACCTTCGCTGCCAAATTTAAAGAGACGGTTTGTGATAGGTTTTTCTCTTCAATGCTTCTCCAGTAGGCACTGGATTTCGCTTTGAACAATGGCGCCCTATTAATAAGACAGTGTGAAACATATCAAAACCAAGAGAATATCAACTGTTTTGCTCAAAACTCGACAACGGATTTCCGTGAGAGGTGAATCAAGTCACTGTACAACTGTTGTTTCGGGAGAAGACACTCTTTTTCTTTTAAGAACGTCCAGGCTGAGATTAAACAAAATTTTAAGAACATACTAAGAACATAACCAGGCTGAGAGTCAGTTAAGAACGTCTTTCTTTGCTCTTTTTTGTGAGAGGTTTAAGATAAAATAAGAGCTAAATTGTGGTCTAACAGGACGATTGACTTAAATACTTAGGGGCGTTTTTTTAACATGAACAACGCAGTTTTCTTATTGTGAGATACACTGAAGAACAACTCAGTTGGTAATCGAACTTACTCTGCTCACGTCCGAATTAATTTATCATGAAATACCATACCTAGCAACTTTAAGAACGTTTTTAGGCTCAAACTACAAAAATAAAAAGTAAGAACGTTCAGCCTCAGCTTAAAAATTAAACGTCCTTATTTTAAAAAAAATAGTGTGTTTGAGACAGTAAATTCTACAGATTTTGTCCGACGAAGCTTGCCAGAGCGTTGATAAAGGACTATAACGCTCGAGAAGCCTGGTTTAGAAACTTTTTAAAATTATCAATTCAGTTGATAAAATCAAATTATCTGGTAATACCCCACACCGTTTCTTGAAAAACCGTCTCCTTTTATTTTCATTTAATTGCTTCGCAGAGCTTAAATCGGGACAGTATTCAGTACATAATGACTCTCAAAAAATTTTAAAAAATGGTTAAGAACATGTTTAATTTATTTGGGATAATAAAATAAGACTTGAAAGATGGTATAATTGCTAAAGAGCTTTTTTGTAATAAATATAACTGAAGTAAACAATGTACGTACAGGTAGTTTGCATTACAATTGGTAATCATCACGGTTTTTTTCCTTTTCAGCCTTAAAACTTTAATTCAATATTCTGTTTTCATGTTTTCCTTTTGCCAGGAGTTTCAAACTAAGAGTTCCTCGTGTAGTTTGGAACTCTTTTCTCCATTTCAGAACTTGCTTTTGTGCAGTGAAAAGCTTTCTGGTATTGAATTAAGCATTGTTTGTAAACAAAGGTTAATGTATAAAAGGCCAATTACTCGTTAATTCTTTGTTTTTGAAAATATGAAAGTGCGGCTTTTTCCGTCTGAACGAGGTGGACGTTAAGAGGAAGCTCTGGTATATTTTTACTCTTATTTTAACTTCAATCACAAGATGATGAAACAGCAAAGAAAACTAAATATTTAAATGGAAAAGAACTGAGTTTAGTACAGCCCTAGATGTGACAAATGTTGCCAAAGCAATAAGACATCTCCCACAAAGAGGTTTTAATGCGTGCTCAACTTTAGTTATGCTATATCACGAGTCAAGTACGAGTCACGATTAAGGTTCAAGTCACTGAATTCAAATAGTTCCCTTTTTTGGCCTTAAATTTTTTTCTTTTTTTTTTTTGTTTTGATTTCTGAGTCAAAATGATGTACCTGGAATACAAGAACACCTAGTTTTAAGCTTAAAACGTTTTTCACGGCCGTTTGCGAGGGTTAATTCTGCACCGCTTCACAGCTGCGTCCCTAGAAGAAAACATCCCAAGGTATTTACGAGTTTACCCCAAAGATTCCGACTTCTTTTTAATTACACGCACCTGAGGCAGGAGTCCTCATTCAACGACAAACTGTCTAGACTCGGCGTGTAAAACTGATTCTCGTCCTCCACCGCCATGATCTCATTCATAACACTATTACTACTACACTGCATAAATATTATCCTCTAGAAAATGTTTTTTCACCAAACTTTTCGCGTTTTTCTTGTGATATACGGGTTTCGCTTGTTAAAAATTTTCGAAGCGAGCCATGTTACAAAATCTGTGGAAAATTAAGAATTTGTTCATGCTTAGCGTGCGTATATCGAGTTATGGATGCACGCGGGAAATTTGAAGGGCACGAAAAATGCGTAAGAGTAGCGCAGCCGAGAGCAACTCTAGCTTTTTGAATGCTCTCCAAACTTCCCAAGTGCATCCACAACTCGATATACGCACAGCTAAGAGCATGAACAAATTCTTTTATAATAGAGCGACAACAAGAATCTGCGCGAATAGGCCTTTTATTGTGGTAGAGTGCAAAATTCTCACAACGCACAAAAAAAGTAAACAAACGTCCCTATTGGCTGGTCAAAAACACGCCACATTTTAAACTTTGGTTTGAGCGAGAACTGGGAATGAAAAGCTAAACATTTACGGGGAAAATGGAGAAAATCAAAGCCAAATGAACTCAAGTGTCACTAAAAAATGTTTCAAAACTCAGAGTCAACTTGCTATTTTTTTTCGGTTTTATTTTTGTTGCTTGTTAGATCAGGACATAAACGGTCAATGCCGATAGAAAAATTGGGCAGTTCTGTGCTGGTTTCTTCCATATTACAAAGAGAAGGAAAACTTCACTGCGGCTTAACATGACGGAAAATCTAAAGCAAAGTACAAAAAAAATGCTCATGTCATCTTATTTACGCACGGGCGTGCGTAAATAAAGATTTTGTTCATAGCGGCTCAATATATAGGACTTATATAGGACAAGCACGCGCGCACACGCAATTGCCACACAATGAAATACTTTAACTAAGCAGTAACTGAGCGCAATTCTCATTTGGCCATAATTCTTTATACCCGCGTTAATAAGCGGTTAATTTCTGACAGTTCTGCCCGTAGCAACTTGAAAATGATGAACACCAAACTTCATGCTTCGCAGAGTCTAAACGGACAGTATTAAGTACACACACTGCATAATGACTCTCAAAAACTAAAAATAAAATGGTTTAAAGCATTTCTAATTTATTTGGCTTCATAAAACAAGACTTAAAATATGATATCATTACTAAAAAGATTTTTTGTTTTAGCTTAAGTAAACAAAGAACGTACATACAATTAGTTTGCATTGCAATTGATAATCGTCACTGTTTTTTTCCTTTTTAGCTTTAAACTTAAATTAGCATTTCTGTTTTCGTGTATTTCTATTTTTCTGTCGGTAGGAGTTTCAAACTAAGAGTTGCTTATGTAGTCTGGAACTCCTCACTCAGTTTTCAATACTTGGTTCCGTGCAGTGAAAAGCTTTCGGGTTTTAAAGTAAGCATTGTTTGTAAATTAAATTTCATGTTTAAAAGGCCAATTAGTCGTTAATTGTTTGTTTTTGAGGAGATTGGAGGGCGGTTTTTCGTCTCAATGAGGGGGGCGTTAAAAGGTAGCTCTCGGATATTGTTAATCTTGTTTTTACTTCAGTCAAAGGAGACTAAAACAACAAAGAATTGCCAAGACAATACGATATCTCCCGCAAAGAAGTTTTAATTTGTTTTCCATTTACACACGATGCTTATCAAAATAAGTAATTCAATAAAAATTGCAAACAGTTTTAATTGCACGTAATGAAATACTTTAGCTAAGTAGTAACTGAACGCCGTTCTAACTCGGCCATAATTATCTATACCCTTTAATAAGCGTTTTATTCCAACACTTGACTCAAACTTGACTCACGACTCGAATTTAACTCAGGTTCGAAGTTGACTCGTGATATGGTATAACTCTCTCAATTTCTCCATTTTTTTTTTTTTGCGCACGATGCTCATTTCACTAAATAACACAATAGCACCTGCAATCAGTGTTAATTACCACATATTGAAATACTTAAGCTAAGCAGTAACTGAGCGTATTTCTTAGTTGGCCAAAGCTATTTATATCCTCGTTAACCTGAAAATGATGAACGCCCAAGTTCAAGCGCTGTTTTTCACGCTTCTGCTATTTGCAAGTACAGTCAATGTGTCCGAGAGCTTTTTTCTATCTCGTGTTGGACGGAAGCGATTGAATTTGAAAGAGATTAAGGTAAGATTATTCTGGAGATAAAACTGATCCCTGAAACTGTTTTGATCGGCTATCGTGAGATGAAACTTTACTTTCTGATTGGTATCCATAAAGAGTAATTCAATTCCTTGGTTTCCGTCACAGAAGGGCCAAATTTCCTCACAGAAAGCAGGTTATTGCTTTTGAGCAATATATAAGACTCGCATGTCACTTCTACGTAACATTACTAATGCGTCAAAAGACTGCGACCTCAGTACTCATGGTCACATGCAACGACCAATGATACGTCTCTACGGATTATTAGCGCCAGTTTATAAGTTCTTTGCTCTGATTGGCCTGTTGAGTTTATTATTGTGCGTAGAAGGA